TTTCTTACATGTCCGGGTATCCCATATTGCTAGCTAAGGGTGCCTTGGTCTTCCACACCTGAAGCGGTGATTACCGCGACAGACCAAGGGCGTGTTTGTTTCCCCAGGGCTTGGCCCAACAGAGCCTACACGGAGGGAATGATGCAGGCTTTGGGCCAAGTTCTGCATCCTGTTTGTTTGCCTACATAACCGAGAGAGTATTTTGTAAATTTGGACCAAACCTCGTCTAACGCCGCCTGGTGATCTGTTATGCCACCTCATCAAAAGGCAGCACCCGCACCCACTTGTCAGAAACGTCATCAAAATGCTCTAATCGGCTAGTCAGTGATTTACGCAAAAGGTTTACCATAGATTAGGTGTTTTCTTTTATCATAACAACTTTATTCATCAAATAATAGCAAGGTGTTTACATAGTGATGAAGAATGAATTCGGGGACATTGGATTCCCAAGATTCAGACTCATTAATGCTAAAATAGTGTTTTGCCAAGCAATTTGCTACCATATTTGCTTCTCTGCTGAAGTGGACAAAACGATGCTAGCAAACTCCATGGCCATGAGAGAACACTCTGCAATGATTGGAACATCAGTTCCCATATAAGCATTTCGATCAGAGATGGCCTCTAACGCCACCGTACTGTTAGACTCGATGTTGAGTTTAGTGCACCCCAATTTTTCAGCTAGGATCAAACCACTTGGGATAGTCTACTTCTGCTGAATCAGCACTAGAAACATGGGGTAGCACATGGGTCTCTGCTGCCAGAAAATTACCTCGATCATCTCGAGCTATCTCCCTGCGGGCTCCTGTCATATTTTCCACATGAAATGATGCATCAACATTGACTTAACAGCACCCTCGCTTGGCTTCTTCTAGCTACGATGGATCTTGCGTATAGGCTGGTTTGGAGCATAAGCTCGGACAAAAATGTAGCTAGAACCCGTATAGACATAAAATAAAATTGTAGAACTGTATTTCCTCATAACCTAGCCTTTAATGCGGTGATTTTCTGCATTTAACTATTATTAACTAGTATATCGCTCACGGGATCTTTTGCGGAAAAAGGACCCTCATAAGTGCCACACGTGTAACACGAACACATGTCAACTCCGAACAATTTTGATGGCAATTTTAGTGGCGCAGGGATGGCAACTTTAGTTGTTAATCATGACAACTTTCTTTTCTGATGATAAGTTTAATTTTTTAGATGATAACTTTAGTTATAAAAAAGTCAGGTCTGGAGTGATTCATGCCACACATGTGCCGCTTAGGGCATGTACAATGGAGGCAGCACTTGGTGCTGCCTCAGTACATCCACGACAGCAAATAAAAATGAGACCATAGTCTATGACTCTAGCTCAGTGGTTGGGCATGCGGTTGTGCAGCCTAATGACCCGAGTTCAATTCCTATAATTGACAGGTGATGCACAGGGGTTTTCCTCCATTTATTGAGGATCAAGTTTGGTGTGTGGTGAAACCACTCATCAAAAAATATCTTGATACTCATTTAAAAAAATCCGAGGACCATGTTTATCTTGGTACTCATACTAAAAATGGTCGTATGCATCCCTAGTTGGTGCAGAGGCCGGGGAAGTGAAATTCTCCCCCATAAAAAAGCCCCCATTTTTAAAGGACTTCTCCCGTGTCGCCCCTGCGCGGCGACCGGGGGGAACCCTAGCGCCGCCGCGTCCTTGTCCCTCCCCCGACCTCTACTCCTCGCCGCCGCCGGGCAAAGCCCGGTCGGCGGCGGCGGCGGCGGGATCTCTTCTCCCATGACTCGCTGGATCTAGCGCGGGTGGATCGCGGCGCGCTGGAGGCGGGGCGCGCCGGCGCGGGATTGGGGGCGGCGGCAGGGCTCACGCTCGCGGTTTCCCCTAGTGTGCGTGGGAGTTTGCTCGGGGCGCGTGGGGGCGGCCCTCGGCAAGTGGTGGCGAGCGCTGGCCTCTCGGTGGCGCTCCGGCGTGTGCATGCAACGGTGGTCCCTGTGCGCGGTCGGCGGCTCCGTCTCTGACCCGGACGGCGCGGGGGATGGCGGTGGCCTGACGTGGGCGGCGATCTGGATGCGGTGGTGTCGGCGGCTCACTGAGCTGCTGGTGTTCTAGGGTTCTACCTGGTGGTGCTGGTGGTGACGGCGGCCCGTGCACGAGAATTGGATCTCTTCGAACTGATCTGGGTGAAAACTTGCCTTCGGCGTCTTCTAAGGCCGGCGGTGGCGGCGCTATCTGCGTCGTTCCCTTCTTGAAGGCATCACCGTGGAGAAGTTCAAGGCCACTCTTTGCTATCTCCGGGGGAAACCCTAAATCGGATGATCGGATGACGGCGGCGCTCTGGTGTCGTTCCTTCCTTGGGGGCATCATTGGAGGTACACACGTGATCGAGGGATCAGAGGACGGATTCTTTGGTGGAGCGGTGATTCATCCGACACACTGATGGCGTCGGATCTTGACGGCGTGGCGCGATGCAGATTCGGAGTTCGCTGTGGGAGGATGGACTCGCGCAGGAGGATGACGCTGTCGGGCGTCGTGGTGACGTCGATGGCAGAGAGACCTTGCACGGGACATGCAACAGTACAGCTCTGAAGATGGATTGGTGGCAGGTGGCTGCGACGGCCTCATACCCGGCAGGCATCCTGATTGGGACCTCAGGTCTTAAATGTTTAAGTTTGGCTGCGATGTCTGTTTGGTATTAAGCCCAAACTATCTGCGCCCCTTCATCAATTGGATAGGTGTAACAACAGTTGTTGTTTAAACGGTGACTTTAGTCCTGCTGTTGTTTAGCTTTGTAAAGTCTAGTGATAATAATTAATAAAGTGGCTATATGCATCGCCTAGATGCAGGGGGTCATCTTTTTTTTTAAACAAAAAGTCTATGACTCTAGCCACTCAACGCGAGCCACCGTCTATAGGACTAGTGACGCATACAAAGGAGGAATGAGTGCTCGTCCTTTTCTCGAACCAGGAGAGCATGAGCACAGCAACCGGGCGCCATTTCTGTTGCTTTTTCCTCTTTATCTTCCTTTTGGCAGCGAGGAGACGAGTTCCTCTCTCTGCAGGAGTCCGCTTTCATCTGCAAGCAGCAGTTTGATATGAGCTGGACTGTTGAACCCAACGAGAAGACCTGGAGCACCTGTCCAGTGTGACCCGTTGGCTATGCCCTTATCATTTGGGAAAACGTCACTTGTCTCAAAAAGAAAAGGGAATGATAAGCGCCCGCGCGCCGGCCCAAACTTTGGGCCGCTAGCACCCCAACCATACGATGCGAGCTGCGGGGTCGTTAGATTCCGCCCGACGCCCAGCTCACCCCGCGCCCTTGCCCTTTCTTCTGCTCGTGCTCGTTGATCAAATCTACAGATGGTCCCCTGCCGCGACGCCGCTCCTCGCCGGAGGCAGCGCCGCTCCTCCTCGACCAGATTAATCGCTGCAACGCCGGCCCCAGCACCAAAAAGAACTCGTCTCTTGCTCGCGGGCCACCCGTGCCACCTGCACTCATCCCTCGGCCGCCACATGACATTGACGCCTGCAGCTCGCCCGTCGGCCGGTTCCAGCTCTAGTCGCCATGGTTGCAACATCCCTAAGGCACCGCCGGCGCCTCCGCTCATCACCGCCGTTCAGGTCGAACCACCTTGTCCTCGGCAAAAACACAAACTTCATTAGTTTGTGAGTAGTAGCAAAATCACATGCTGGTTGCAGCAAAAAAAATCATCGAATCCAGCAAAAAGAACCACCATCACGTCAACCACTGCAAAAATTCTTGTGTATCTTCCCAGCAAAAATTCTTATGGGTTCCAGCATTTTTTTTGCCGGTTCCAGCAAAACACATCTCGACGCCGTCCCATTGCATCATCGAGCAATAGAGGTTGCAACCTTTTCTCCGTTCGCTTCCAGCAAAAAAACTATATGGTAGTAGCACTGTACCTCGACGTCTTCACCCCGGCAGCTGTTGGTTGCAGCAAAAAAAGAAGATGGTTCCAGCATCTCCAGGATCCGGTTCCAGCAAAAAAACTCTTGGGTAGTAGCACCGTACCTCGCCTTCTTCACCCCATGACGGTTGCTGATTGCAGCAAAAATGGACGATGGTTCCAGCTCCAGAGAACACCGCTTCCAGCATATTGTGTGGCCGGTTGCAGCTTTCCGGTCAGTGAGGTCCTCGCCTTGCCGGTTGAAGCTCATCGCTTGAACGGCTCCAGCACCACCACCGTCGTCCGGGATGCGGCTCTCACGGAAGGAAATCGGAAGCTAGCCATGGTGACTAGCGCGTTCGGCTGCGGCGACCATGAAGAGGAGCGCTCGAAGCCAGCCATGACATTCGCTTGCAGCTGCCGCAAGGTTCCTTGCAGCGGCCAGGGCGCGTCGCGCGCCAGCTTTTGTGCCCCTCCTCATCTTATTTTGCTGCAGGGAAGAAGGGGATGGGCGGCGGAGAAGATAGAAGGGAGAGAAGAAACATGGCGCTGGGAGGGGGTGTGGCTGAAGGTAGGGGATGAAGTGCGAGGGGAAAAGATAAGGCAGGAAGGAGCGGTCTGACTGGGTCCACCAAATACACGCGTCTCGCGCAGGGGGCTAATTGCGTGAGCGCACCGTGGAAAATTCGTACAGTGCGCCGTTCTCCAACGATTCCCAAAAGAAAATTGGGGGAAAAAATCACTTGTGTGATCAAACCCCGCAAAACGCCATGGCGGAACGAAATACGCCCGGCTATGGACCCCGTCCGAAACCTCAACTTTGGATCCCTCCTCCTCCCCGAACGTGGCGTGCAGCAAAAGGCGCCGACACTGCCATGCCACAGTAGGCACCAAAAAAGAGAGCCCGAAACGCAACACGACGCCATCATTTGCTGCTCCATTCGAATTTCGAACGCCGCCGGCCGCTCCGCTCCACCCCCCAATCCCTCCACGCGAAAAGCCACGCTGCGCACCAAAGCGGCGTCACGACACCACACTCCACTCTAGCCACAGGCCACAGCCAAGCGGCGGCAGCTCCGGCAGCGCGGCTAGCAGGAGGAGAGAGAGATGAGGAAGGCGGCCGCGGCCTCGCGCTACGCCTCCTACGACGACTCCCCGTCGCCCTCCCCGTCCCCGCGCCGCGCCGGGCCCGCCGCCGCCGCATCGGGGACGCCGGGGCAGCAGCACGGGAGCCGCGCGCTGGTCGCCGTCAGATCCGGCCGCGGCGACCTGCGCTGCCAGGCGCCGCAGCCCCAGCCGCACGGCAACCTGGGCTCCGTGCTCCGGCGGCTCATCTCCATGGACAAGAAGCCCAGCGCCAAGAACCTGCTCCCCGTCCCTCCCGCCGCCGCCGCCGCCCCCGCGAAGAACGGCAGCGGGGCCAAGCTGCCCGGTCTGTCGCGGAAGCTGTTCCAGAAGGCGCCGCCGGAGGCCAAGAAGAAGGCCCTCACCGAGGTCAAGAACAGCGGCAACGCCAACACGCGGACGCTCGCCATGGTGCTCCGCAGCGAGCGGGAGCTCCTGTCGCAGAACAAGGAGCAGGAGGACGAGATCGCCGCGCTCCGCCTCCAGCTCCAGCAGAAGGACAGGGAGGTGCGCCGCTGCTAGTGAACACACATCCCTTCCTCCTCCTGTGTTATCAATTGCTGATGGAGTAATCGTGGTAATGGTGAGTAGGTAGAGCGGCTCAAGGATCTGTGCCTGCGCCAGCGGGAGGAGATCAGCACGCTCAAGGACGCCGTCCTGTTCCCGGACACTGAGCCGGACCGCCACGTCCGGGATGAGATTTCGGCTCTCACCGGGCAGATCCAATGCCTCGCCGATGAGCTCGCCCAGGCATGTTCTTACGATTTCTGATGCATTCCTAATCCTAGTGCAATCTTTCAGTACCAATCTAATGTTCGGTTGCTATTGTTTCAGGTCAAGGCCGAGAAGAACACCTCAAGATCATGTTTTGATGATGAATATTGCTCCTCCCCAAGCACGCCCGTGCTTAACGAGGAGACCGCCTTCTCTCTGGTATGATCGTTTGCTGCACAGTTCTTTTGTTAAGATTGAACGTGTATATGCCAGTTTTGTTTTGCAGATGCTTCAACAATTTTATTTGTCACTATTAGATGGTGTACATATTATTCCGCAAATTGCTTTTGGTTATTTTCTTGAATTCAGACTTGTGTGACTACGTTTGCAACACACATATCTTTCGGAACCTGCTAATCCATGTGCTATGGTTCAAAAATAATATCCCCTTCGATCCATATTAATTGTCGCTGATATCCATATTAATTATTGCTGATTTAGGAGTAATAATCCAGAGGCCAACCATGCCAATGCCAGAATTTGATGTCTTCATAACTGCAAATGGTTAACAAACGGTCACCCCACCGGCCACTGGCAAACGGCCTTCTACAAGATTTTACTATTTAAGAATCAGAGAAAAGTATACATATTTATACATGAAAAAGAGCACACAGGACGATCCAGGTCAATCTTTGCTACGCAAATTGTCCATGGAAACAGTGAAAGGAGAAGATTTGACCGAATTATGCTTTGATAAAAGATTCATACTACTAATGTACTGTGCCATGTTACAAACTTACAATTGGTAGAGGGGATCGTATACTCCCTCTGTTTGTTTTTAGTCTGCATATAAGATTTGGTCAAAGTCAAACTTTGTAAAGTTTGACCAACTTTGTTGGAAAAAATATCAACATTTGCAATACTAAAGCTATATGGTATGAAAACTAATTTCATGATGCATCTAACAATATTGATTTCATATTGTGAATCTTGATATTTTTTTCTATAAACTTAGTCAAAGTTGATAAAGTTTGACTTTGACCAAATCTTATATGCAGACTAAAAATAAACGGAGGGAGTATTTATTACTATTAAATGGCCCTAGCAAATGTTTAACAGCCATTAAGCTATATAAATGACATTTGCATTGGGCTAACCTTAATATTTTTGTTACTGTTAAATGGCCCTGACAAATGTTTAACAGCCATTAAGCTATACAAATGGAAAATATATCTGCAAAGGCTTTTTTTAGAACCATGCTTTTAATATTTGGAATGCGCTTCTAGAACGTTTTGGTTTGCGTGTTTCTTATGTCCTTTTTGGAGGAATGCCCATTATTATCAATATTCTCATGGACTTTGATGACTTAATCAAAAGTACACCTCACACCTTAATTCAGATACAGCAGGAGTAACTTTAGTCTACTGTCTCATGCTTTGTCCTGCTTTCTTTTTTTAAATACGGGTACACCACATTGTTAACAACTTCCAATTGTTCTTAACTTGTTTTGATGTTAAGTTGTTAGATTTATCTCATATTCAGTTCATACTCTTTATTTTTTTCCAAGTGATATTTGAGAACACTTTCTGCGCCGCCAAATTTGCAAGGACAATCCCTTACCTATGTTTCATGGTTATAATTTGTTTAGTCTGTTCCAGACTCCAAGTTCCAACTCTTCTCAAGAGCTTTATCATTCTTGCCGTTTGCAAACTATCTGTTGCAACAAGAGCATAAAAATACCCCCTACACAAATGAATCCTACATTGCATGACTGATGGCCACCTATCTGTGTGACTTGAATGACTGATCGTATCCATTTTTCCTATGTGCTGTCATCGCAGGAGTGCAGCATCGGCGAAGCGGAGACGCCACCAAACTATGGTAGCCCTGACGAAATGTTCGTCAAAGATCTCAACCCCTGCCTAACACCTTTCTCCAAGAGCAGATCCGAGGTATCACCGCCTACTGCCAGCACAATTTTCATCCATTTTCGCCCTTATTTCATCCTCGAGCAGCCAAAAAGCATTTCTCTCATCTCGACCCTGAACTTCTTGCCAGGAGTATGAGGAATCCTTGAGCTCTCACCGCAGCAAGGCGAGGCCGGACCCCCACCTCTCCAGCTCGCGCCGCAGGCCGATGTCGAAGAGCTCCGACCACCATCACAAGCCCACCTCGGGCACGGGGAGCAGCAAGCGGCGAGCGCACCGGTCCGACCAGGACAAGTCCTGCCAGAACCTGTTTTAGACCGTGAGTGAGCTCGGGCGTTGGAGTTGTTGTGTAATAATGATGTGCTATGCTATGCTATGTGTGCGTGTGGTTGCGAGCTTGGTTGTGCTTTGGTTCTTGATGGTCGATGCCTGCCAGATGTATGAACTCTGATGGTTTGATATGTTTTTTCCTGGAGAGATTCAGCCGTAATGTTTCGCTCGTGATTTCTGAATTGTGACAGGGATGTTATTTTTTCAATCTTTAAGGAGTACATCTTGTATTTTGGCTCAAACTTTGATCATAGTTTGACTCCATTCCAAAATATAAGGTGTAAATTTTTTCATGAAAGCCAAACGCACAAACAACTGATGCTCTGCGGCCCCTTTTTTTCTTTCTCTTTTTTTGTTCTGATTCGAATTTGAGGTGCTCTCCCTCAGCCAGCCTCCGGCTGTGGAGATGTTCTGTATGATACCCTGGGACCTTGTCCTTTCCCTCTACTTAATAGTAATAATGTACGTGCAATGCATGTTTATATTAGGTAGAATATTAGTTGCATGTCATATTAGGGAAAGATATATCTGTTGCACGTTGGTATTTGGTAAGATATCAATTACTTTTTTCACGGAAATGGTACGATATCAATTACATGGCAGATTTCATGGAATAGCGTGGAGTCAAAACGTGTTTATAACCAATTGTGTTGGAAATATGAGCAAGTTACTACAAGATTTAATCCAAATAATTATAAGATAAATCATGACTACAGTAGCAGAGATTAAACTAATCATGCAAACTAGCATAGCAGATGAACAGATCACATCTAGGGCACATACTAGAAACATGAATTCTACCACGATCTCGAACGGGAAGGATAGAATCACATACGGTGCAGCGGGAGCAGCACCGCCGGCGTTGACGTTGCCGCCCATGTCGTCGAGGATGAGGTTGCCGAGGTCGGGAAAGAAGTCGTCGTTCGCGAAGTCGTCGCTGCCAGCAGTCGCGCGAGTGCGCTCCCCAAAAACCTGATCGCCCCTCTCCCGTACAGGATCACGAGAGGCGGGATTCCGGAGGCCTGCTGTACCTTCTCCCGGTGCACGCCGAAAGGAGGGATGGAGAAGACTTGCTTGGCGGCACAATGATCTGGAACGGTGGTGAGAAACCATACGAAGCGGCGGCGGCTAGGGTAGACGTAGAATCGGAAACGGTTCAGTAATTAACGCGTCCGTTAATTATTAATTAATGACTCATTAATTTTCCCTGAGCAGCAAAAATATAGACAATGTGCATAGCTCTGTCCTCGGCTCGGCTCAATCCCGTAACCCGCGGCGTGTCGTGACGAGGCGTGGCGTGGCGTGACGTGGCGAGGCGAGCGAGGAGGAGGAGGAGCGCGCGTGTAGGTATCCTCTTCTCATGCTCATACAAGTGGTAGAAGAGCTCACCTTATAAAAAGGTGCAACTCTCTCTCTCAACTTCCGGGGTGGGACTAAACTTTAGCCTCACTCACTCCACTCACATGTGTGCATGAATGGGCCAAAAGAATTTCAGAATTTTAGTTGGGCTTTGGGCCAAAGGCCTACTAGCAAAATTCCAATAATCCCCCACAAAGTCCCATTGGCACATCTCATCATTTAGTTTCAAAATATTGTTTTTATACCGGTGCTTAGTGGAGACTGTGAAGTTGAACTTCCACTTAGAGATTTATGCTACACTAGATTACAACTTGAATAGTGGACTATGCCTTGAACTACAAGTTTTCTGCGAGACTAGTTTCACACAAATTCTTGACCGATACTGGGCTGCCGCAAGGCTTCCCCGTGGGTGGAGCGTATACGTCATACTCCAGGGCCTTTTCATGAATTTATTAGAGAACACCCAATTCTCACAGACTGCGATGTTAACAGTCAAATTCATATAGGTGTGTTCCTCAGAAGATGTTCTGCAGGACAACATCTCTGCTTACCCGAATAAGCCACTTGGAACACATTAAGATAAGTATCAACCTGCCATGTAGATCAGGAGAGTATTGCATCTTCATGGAGTGGGATAGGTAATATAGGGATACTCTCCTCCCAGCTGACCAACAGCTTGTCTCCCACTTCTACTTCACGAGATCTCCGATCACATAGAGTGGGTTACCACTATGGACAACTCATGCGGTGGGTCTCAGACCCATCTCCATTGATGCATTATCTATCACATTACGTGATAGACCCTTTGTGAAGGGATCTGCCAAATTTTTCGACGTTTGAATATAATCCAACGTAATAACTCCAGAGTTCCTCAATTTTCTGATAGATTTCAGTCTCCTCTTCACATGCCTTGAGGACTTCATATTGTCCTTTGAACTGTTTATTTTGACGATCACAGTTTGATTATCACAGTTCATCAGGATAAGGGGGTATTGGTTTTTCAACCATAGGTAAGTCCATCAAGAGTTCACGAAGCCACTTTGCTTCAACAGTGGCAGTGTCTAATGTTGTGAGTTCTGCTTCCATAGTTGACCTCGTTAAGATGGTTTGCTTGCAAGACTTCCAGGAAACAGCGCCACCACCAAGTGTGAAAACATAACCACTTGTGGCCTTAATCTCATCAGCATCAGATATCCAGTTTGAGTCACTATAACCCTCCAGTACCGTTGGATACCCGGTGTAGTGAATCCCATAGCTCGCGGTGCCTTTCAAATAACGCATAACTCCCTCAAGCGCATGCCAATGATCATCTCCCGGTTTTGACACAAACCGACTCAGCTTGCTCACAGCAAAAGAGATGTCAGGCCTCGTGGCAGTCGCCAAATACATAAGCGAGCCAATAATCTGAGAATACCTCAGTTGATCTCTAGCAATCCGTCGGTTCTTTCGAAGCAACACACTAGCATCATATGGAGTTGGAGAAGGCGTGCAGTCGCTATACCCAAAATGACTCAAGACCTTTTCCAAACAGTAAGACTGAAGCAGTGTGATCCCACCATTCTCATCTCTCAACAGCTTGATGTTTAAGATAACATCAGTTACTCCTAGATCCTTCATCTCAAAATAGCGAGATAAGAAATCCTTAACCTCCTTGATTAAATCAAGTTTGGTTCCAGAGATCAGTATGTCGTCGACATACAGACAAAGAATAACTCCTTCGTCCCCACCATAGCGATAGTACACGCACTTGTCATCATTGTTTACTACAAAGCCGGCAGCAGTTAATGTTCTTTCGAAATTCTCATGCCACTCCTTAGGAGCTTGTTTAAGGCCATATAAAAACTTTAATAACTTGCACACCTTTCCTTCCTGACCAGGTACTACAAAACCATCTGGCTGATCCATGTAAATTTCCTCCTTCAACTCTCCATTGAGGAAAGCTGTCTTAACGTCCATTTGATGAATGAGAAGACCATGTGAGGCAGCCAGTGATAGTAGCACCCGAATTGTGGTCAGTCTAGCCACGGGTGAGTAAGTGTCAAAGAAGTCTTCACCTTCTTTCTGGGTATAACCCTTGGCCACAAGTCGTGCCTTGTACTTTTCAATCATACCATCAGGTCTAAGCTTCTTCTTGAACACCCACTTACATCCTACAGGTTTGCACCCATAAGGACGGTCAGTGATCTCCTAGGTACCGTTAGCTAAGATGGAATCCATCTCGCTACGTACAGCTTCCTTCCAGTAGTCAGCATCAGGAGATGCATAGGCTTCTGAAATAGTCCTGGGTGTGTCCTCCACGAGGTACACAATGAAATCATCACCAAAGGACTTTGCAGTCCTCTGTCTCTTACTCCTCACAGGAGTTCCATTGTCACCCTCAACAGGATTCTCAACGTGTTCCATCGCAATGGTGGGTTCAGGAATTACAGTGAATTCCTCACTAGATGGAGTAGGTATCTCCTGATTTGATGAACTCGACATATCCTTCATAGGAAATATGTCCTCAAAGAAAGTTGCATCATCCGACTCCATAATCGTACCAACATGCATGTCGGATATCTTAGATTTTATTATCAAAAATCTATAGCCGATGCTATGAAAAGCATAGCCCAGAAGAACACAATCCACGGTTTTTGGTTCAAGCTTGCGCTTCTTGGGAATTGGTATATTGACTTTCGCCAAACAACCCCAAGTACGTAGGTAAGAGAGTTTCGATCTTTTCCTTTCCCATTCCTCAAACGGAGTCATGGTCTTATGCTTTGTGGGAACTCGGTTTAGGACATGACATGCAGTCATTAGCGCCTCCCCCCACCATTCCTTGGAAAGACCTGATGTGTCTAACATGGTGTTAACCATATCAGTTAGAGTTCGGTTCTTTCTTTCGGCTACCCCATTTGACTGAGGTGAATAGGGAGGCGCCCTCTCATGGATTATACCATGTTCCGCACAAAACAGATCAAACTCATTGGAAAAATACTCTCCACCACGATCGGACCTAAGCCGTTTAATTTTTCGATCAAGTTGGTTCTCTGCCTCAGCTTTATAGTTTTTGAAGAAAGTTAAAGCCTCATCTTTTGATTTCAGGAGACACACATAACAATATCTAGTGGAGTCATCAATCAATGTCATGAAGTATCTCTTTCCACCTTTTGTCAACACGCCATTCATCTCACAAAGATCAGAATGTATAAGCTCTAGTGGCGCCAAGTCTCTTGCCTCTGCAGTCTTATGGGACTTGCGAGGTTGCTTAGCTTGCACACATACTTGACACTTAGAGACTTTGACAGTAGAGATTTTTGAAATTAAATTCATATTGGCTAGCCGCGTCATGCAACCAAAGTTAATGTGACAAAGTCGTGAATGCCAAATATCAGACTCATTGTTGTGGCAAACATTATTAATAACTTTAGTGCAAATATCTGATAAAGACAGGCGGAACAAGCCTCCGCTCTCATAGCCTTTTCCAACAAATTGTCCATACTTAGAAATTACAACTTTATTTGATTCGAAAACCAACTTAAAACCATCTCGACATAAACGGAAACCGCTAACGAGATTTTTATTTATGGACAACACATGATGAACGTTCTTCAGACGCACAGTCTTCCCCGAAGTAAACTTCAGATC